CATTTAAACCTTACAACCATCCCCCATCCTATGAGGCAAGTATTGGGAAATATCCTTATTTTTTAGAATAAGAAACCTGGATGAAAGGAAAAAAAAAAACAACCCTACTGAAATGATCTTCTAAATCAAAGTGTGAAGGTACAAAGGGATACATGAACGAAAACAAATTCTAAATGAGTGGAAAAAAAAGAATTATTGAAATTGTAAAACCAGTATTATTCTCACTCCTAAACCCTAATTCTGGTGAAGTTTGCAGAGATTGTAGGTTGTATGTTTTGGTGGTAGGAGTCTGCAAATTGAAATGCCACCTCTTTGGGAGACAGCACAACCATGCCCACAAAAGCGACTGCCGCTGGTTCAAACCTCAAATAGAAGGGTCTGCCTTGGATGAATAACATGAGATTTAGGTATTTCTTTGCTGTAATTGCTTTATGCCTGAAAAAAGTTATTTTAATGCCAAACAGTTAATTCACTTTATAAACACAATCTAATCAAGTTATAGAACAAAGGAGGAAAAATGTGATTACATTGTCTTTTTTTACTTTTTGTAAAAACTATTCTATGATTTCTTATAAAGCTTATAAAAATGAAGCAATATAAATTACAAGTTAGAATGCCTAAATGGAGTGTTATGGCTCCCCTAGCCTAAAGTTGTTAAGATTATCTTCCAATGTACTAAGCAAGCAAAAAACAGATCAAACTTAAGTCACTAAGTTCCTCAGTACTTTCCCCACATTTCTGACCTCAATGATTATAAGAGATACATACAAAAATATGGCTTGTCCCTCTAGTAAATGGAGTAGGGTCATTTTAGACCTTAACAAGGAGCCCCTGGTAGCTGGTGAAGGATTCTACCTCTACTGTGGTCATATGGTATACGAGCTGGCCCCTCCTTTTCATCGGTCTAATTTGTGCTTGCCTTTTATAGCTCAGTCTTCACTATCTATTCCAGAATGGATAAAACAGCAATTCTAGGTGCTTCCTACTATTCTTTGCATATCTCTATTCCTATACACACCACATCTGTACATCTTTCTGCCCACTCCAACTGGATCAAGTTTCTTAAAAGCAGGGACTCTGTCTTAACACATCTTAATATCCCCAGTGCCAGAAATTTGATGAATAATACAAGTAAATTTAATAATGAATAAAAAAATCTACATCATTTGGAACCCAAAAATTAAGTGGTGTTTGGGAAGAGTCTCAAAGTGAGTTAAGTTCCCACGAAGCAAGGCAGAAATGGAAAAGAAAAAAAGCAAGGATTGTGTAGTTGCTAAAAGAGATGTAGGGAATCTTTACTAATTTGCCATGGAATATAAGCCTCTCCTTACACATATGCTCCATTCTTAAATATCAATATGAACTCAGGTTTAAAGCAGCCCAACTGTTACAGAGGACTGATCAACTGGAACTTTGAAATAAACTTATAAAAGCATGAAGAGACATTTTTATTCTCATAAACCTAACCTACTAGGTTTTTCTACATTACAATAGAAAAGTGGGAAATGAACTATCATTGGGCAAAACTTATAGGTGTTTTGTATTCTTCCAAGTAAAAAAACAAAACAAAACTAAGGATTTTAACTTTTGTTAGTTTTTTTCTGGTATATTGTTTTTAATAAACAAAGAAAATATTCCACTTCGGGTCTGGTATAGAGGCTTAGCTCTCTGAGTCATTTTAACTAAAGCTGACACCACAGAAAAAATTTACCTGAGCTCACCTTTGGCTATTTCCTGTTACCTCTAACTTGGGTAACTCCTTTAGCCACTTCTAAACCAGTAAGAAAAGAAACACACAAAGCACCCTTAGTTACTCCACAAGAACAATGACCTAAAGCACATCTTCATTAATTATTAGTACATTCTACCTTCATGTGATGAAATAAAGGCAAAATTCCTTCATGCATGAATCATTCTTTTAAGGAATAGTAGACAATGGTGCCACGTAACTTCTATAAAGTACTTTCTCTCTTTATCATGTGATGACAGCCAATTCTTATCCAAACACACCCAATCTCAAATTCTTTTGCTTTCTACCTAAGTTGGGTGCAGATCTTTCAAAATGCTTCTTCACACTTAACAATGCCACAGGTGTACCGAACCAGTCAGGGAACAGTTCTTTACTGAAATGATGACTTGTTTTGGATATTCCCCACAGATCCTGAAATGACAGTTATTTTCCAACATGAGGTGACAAGAGGAAGAGAAAAATAAAAGTTTTTCCAAAGATAAAATACTGGTATTAGAAATGTGGCCTCCTCCTGGTAAAAAAGGTACAATCAAAAGTACTTCAAAAGTATAAGTGCTATTTATAGCATTTCAATAATGTGCGCGTATGGTGCGTGCGTGTATATGCGTTCCCCCATAAATATGAGCATGTGCCAATTTGGGTGGAAAGAAGCCTGTCACACAAAGGTATCCTCTATAGCATCTGGTAACACCTAAGAAGCAGATATGATCATAAAAAAGAAGGGGGGAGGGAAGTCCTATTGTGTATTCTTCAGGAATAGGTATATACATAGGGCATGCTAAAAATCTAGAAGAGAATAAAGAATCTTTTAAAAGAATAAAAAGCCTCACACATTTGTGTGCCTTTCTTGTGCAGGGCCATGTTAATTTTGCACATATTGTGATCTGGGTGTAGGAAGGCAAAAGAAGCACAAAAGTGCATTCTGTGAGTCCAGAGTACAAGACTGCTTTTCATTTAAATGCCTGAAAGTCACAGCCACCATTTTAATAAATTCAACAAGAGTGGTCAGAATCATATACAGAGGTTCTAAAATAAAATGAACAAAATAAATAAAGCAGAAAGTCAGGTTCCTAAGATCATGCCAGGAAATATTGTAAGAGAGAAATGTAAGTAGGTAAGATTAGGTACTGGACACAAAACATAAAATGAAGAGTTAGGAAAAGGAAAACATTTCAGAGTGTTATTTTATTTTTTTAGAAGATTTTATTTACTTTTAGAGCGAGGGGAAAGGAGGGAGAAAGAGAGGGAGAGAAACATCAATGGGTACTTGCCTCTCGCACATCCCTGCCGGGGACCTGGCCCATAACCCAGGCCTGTGCCCTGACCGGGAATCAAACCGTCAACCCTTTGGTTTGCAGGCTGGCACTTAATCCACTGAGCCACACCAGCCAGGGCTCAGAATGTTATTTTGAAGTAAACAAAAAAGTTAAAAGGCTGAAAAAGTGAGAACAAAAATAAACGGCAGCACAGTAAAGTGGAAAAAATAATGGACCAGGAGATGGACCCTTGAGGTCTAAACCTAGTTCTGCAATTAGGCAGCTAAGAGACCTTTACAAATCATCTAGAATAAATTAGGAGAATGAACAAATAACTCTAGGATTCTTTAAAGATATCAAACACAAAATTAACACCCAACATATTTCTTCCTGCTCTTCTCTAGTGAGTTATCTTACATCGTTCTCTTTGTGGACAACTGTGCTGCTGGTTGGGGGATAGTCATTACCGTAGAGCAGTTTTTCCCCAAGGTTTTGAGTTTCACTGTTATGTTCTCACTCAACAGTAAAGGATCTTATAAAGAAGCATATTTTAAATGACATAGTGTTTTGAAAGCAGATTTTCAAAAAACATCTAAGAAAAATAAGGTAGTCATTTGAATATTAAGTTATAGCTTAAATTTCAATTACTCTTGACTGATAAAGGCATTTTTTTCAATGTTCTTTAAAATACTACAAAGTACTCAAAAAGAGAGAAAAATACAGTGCAGAGAAATGTGCCCTACATGCACATCTACTTTTCAGTAGATATATAACTTTTCAGAAGAGATATAACTGAGAGCCAGTGCTAACAGTGGGCTTATGGGTCCCACTGTTAGCAGTAAAAATGATTAATCTCTTAGTTATACTTCAAATGGAAAAAAACTAGTCTATATTCTCAAATCTTCAGGAAAGTAGCAAAACAGACAAATAGGTTTAAAAAAACAACCAACCAACCAACCGAACACACAAACAAATCCTTACACACAGCATGGAGAAAATAAACTGGAACGGTCACTATTCCTAAATCAATAAAAGTTACTGAGAATATCCCAATCAAAATTTCTGAAACTCGACTTCAAAAATAAAGTCTATTTAATTATCTCTGTAAGGATATACAAGAAAATGGCAATATTGGTTATCTCCATACAGGGGAACTGGGTTAGGGTTTGGTAAATAAAAGTTAGGAAAAAAACTTTCTCTCTCAACTCCTTTAAACACATTTGATTTTTAGAACTATATAAACATATTATCTATCAGAAAATGATTTTTAAACTAGTAACTGAATACAATACATAAAAACCTGGATAAATATTACTTCATCAAATTTAAATACTTTATTCTTTAAAATAAAATGAAAAAACAAGACTGAGACTAGGAGAAAATGATTGCAAATTATGTCTGATAAAGGACTTGTAATAAAACAAATAATCTATAAAAACACACTCAACATCCTCAGTCATTACAGAAATAAACACTAGAGCCACCATGATACACCACTGCACAACCACTAGCATGGCTATAATGCAAGAAGCGTAAGTTGGCGAGAACATGCCCAAACTGGGACCTCCGTACACTGCTGGCGGGACTGTCGAATGGTGCGGACACTTTGGAAAAGTTTAGCAGCTTCTTACAAAGTTTACTTTACTATCTCTCATTCTTTAGAATGAAGAAAAATAATGGAAGATTAAAAATAACATTTACCAGAACTGAATTCACAAATAAGAGACCCAGGACACCAGAGAGATGATAAAAGGATAATTTAAGAGCAGTGTATTTTATTTTGCCAAAGAGAGTCAATTCCTTAACTGGTTTGTTAGCATGAATAATTTATAAAATACTACATTTAAGTATTTGTTTCCAAAGATTTTTTCCTACAAGATAATGAAGACATGTTCCTGAAGTAGTACAAGTTATTTATAAATGCTGAATGCCTACATTACCTCAGTAGCAAAGCGAAATGAGAGAAATGCTTTACTGCTGCTTGATTATATTACCTTCAGGAGCTACTGCAGCAGGACAAACTTCTTTGAGGAGATCTCCTAATGTATGCAATTGTCCATCTGTAGCCACAGGACGAAAAAGCTTCTGAATGAAAGGTCGTTCGGTCGTTGTCTATTTGAAAAATGAGAAAAGAATTCAAGCAATTAAGTCTTTGTTGCTATGAATTACAAATTAATACATAAGAAAATTAAAGTTCGCATTAGATGCCTTCAAATGAGAAGTATATATCACAAATGTGGTATTATTACCCAAAACTCTTAACATAAAGTCAAATAAACCTAGCAATGAGGAAACAATTAGACAAATCCAGAATGTGCAACACTCTAAAGATAGCTGGCCTGGACTCTTCAAAAAGATTTCCAAAGGTTTAAAAAAAAAAAAAAAAAAAACACACATTAAAAGAGATTGAGACGGTATAACAATTAAATAATTAAAAAAAAAACCCTTGACTAAATACTGAATTGGAGAAGAAAATTTTAAAAATCAGCCATAAAAGACCTTTTTGGAATAATGGGAAATGAGGAGTGAACATTAGGTAATTTTACTGAATTAATGTCAAATTTTTTAGGTGTGATACTATTTATAGAGACAACAGCCTTATTGTTAAAAACTTACATTCAAGTACTTAGGGGTGAGATGCCATGTCTGAAACTTACCTTCAAATGGAAAGAGGGAAGGGGAGGGTGGAAGGCAAATCTAGAAAAATGTAAACTACTGGTGAATCTAGGTGTTGAAGGGTATGTATGGTCCGAGTTGTTTATTTTAACTTCTCTATATGTTTAAAATATTTCAAAATAGCAGATACAGCATTTCTACTGATAATTGTTACTAGCACTGTGTCACAACTTATTGCTAATAATTTCAATGTTTTACCTACTTTTAAAATTAAGTTTCACTTTCCTAAACTCCTCTACAGGAGCCTGTCAACGATGAAGGAGGCCTCCTCAGGACACAGGGTAGCAAAGCTCTGGAATTAGCCAGTCTGTGAACAGACGTATTGTTTATGAGTTGTATGATCTTGCACCCAGCTTCTTTGGGGATCTGGGACATTCCCTATCTCTTAAGTTTGTTGTGGGAATAACTAAAGAACTGTGCTGAGCACAGAGTGGACAAACAAACTGTAAACAGAATAAAAATACACTCTTCCCCATAACTGTTATTTTAAGGTGGTAGTTATTATTTTACACTTCCTGGAGTGAAAAATTATGGAAACCTGTAAGTACAGAGTGATGCCTCCTATTTTACAGGAAAATGATCTCAGCTGTCTAGCTATTACAGAAAATTTTGTTTTATTTTTGTCACAGAGATATATACCTCAACTTCTGATAGGAGATTTGGTAAAAAACAAAAAAACACAACAATCTGGTTTTAAGTGCAGGCATAAACTAAAATGTAAAACAAAAGAGACATGGTGTATGCACGGGAGCCATCTTTCCCAGCTCTACATTATGCATTCAGTGGGTACATAAGGTTAAACATGATATTTCAATAATACAGTTGAGTGTTGTGGCAAGTACGAAAAAAAATTAGAAAACGAAAACCTTGATCATTAATAGGTATTGAATATAATGCAATTCACTGTCATAACTGAACTCTATTTGTTAAAAGTATGCTTGATATACTTCAATTTAGGAAGCTCATACTTTTCACACAGATGAAACTGGGAACAGTATCATTGCACAATCAAGGACTATGTGAAGACAATAAAGGTTAGGGGACTTCAGGGAAGAAGGATATGAATAGGGGCCTGAAGTAATAATTTAAAATAGCCACCATCCACTTAGAGCTTTCTATCTTCCAAGCAATGAAGAGGCTTTTAAGACTTTTTAGCAAAGGAAGTGACGTGATGAAAGAGGCTTTTTTCCTGAAGGCTAATGGAAAGCAGCACTTTCTACAATGACTTGGTTAAGAGGTAACACCAGGATGACCGGTGAGAGGTTGTTAGAATAGTGCAAGCCGATGTGATGACAACAGGGACTGTGTCAGTGGAAAAGGAGGGGCAGGACTGTACCCCCAGTTAAAAAAAAAAAAAGCTAAAATGTATCATCCCTAGTCTGATCTGAAAATACTAAGGTTTTTAGCAAAGACAAAGAAATCTTTTCAAGAGTCAAGCGATCCCTTAGTGACAAAATTGTTAGATATAGTGACTATAATGATAATATATAGTAACTATAATATTAAAATATATAATAAAACAATATGCCAAACAGGAAAAATCAACAAGTCTTGGCTACATTATTGAAATCCAGAAATTCTCTACTCCCATTCCTAGAAAAATGGCCTGTAGTTTTTCTGTACTTGTTTTTCTACTCTCTCCCAAACCTGAGAAGTTACAATAAAGGTATAGCAATTTTTTTATGATGCTATTTGCTTGAGGGGAGCTGGGAATCCCCAGTACCAGTAACATATTCTAAGTAAACTCTGTGTGGTGGTAACCAAGAAAACTCTCAGGAAAGGAAAGTGCTGTTTCTCATGTAACAAAAACCTTGTTTTAGAAGATGAAGATCCAAATATCCCAATCAAACACCTAATAAGCATTTTGTTTAATACTGATTAGCATGCCTTTAAAAACTTATATTCTGATTTTAAAAAATTTATTGTTAGAAAACAGCAATTTAGCATTTGAGTAATTCACATCAAATATAGAAAACACTCAATTTGGGGAGTTATCCCTAAAACAAAAGCCCTCCACAGACAGATCTTACATTCAAGTACAGAGGTTCTGAAGGGCAATGGGAATGGAGGGTAAATTCACACAAATTTCTTAACTTAAATTTCTTCTCATCAAACTTAAATTGGAGTTAGCATAGAAGACTAAATTATGCTAGGAAGTATTTAAAAGATATCTTCCTTTTGAATATAGCAAGAATTTTAAAAATACAAAAAAATAAATTCTTTAAACTTTGATTTAGTATACATGAAACTAGACAATACTAACAGGATCCATACTAATGTGAATCTTAATCTGACAGACAAGAAAGCCACTAACAGGCATATAGCCAATACTTACTTAATCTAGCCATTTATTTGTAAATATGCAAACTACTTCAGTGACTTAGAAACAGTATTAATCTCTCATGAGAAATTATGTGACTTGGTAAAGTCATCTTTGAGGCTGCCCTTGTTACTTTTAAAAAATGTTAGTTACTTCTTAAATATGCCAAATGGAATATAAAATTGGGGTGCTACTGGCTGGCTGTTCCTCATCTCTCCTTTAGTCATGCACCGTCACCAATGAAATAATAACTTTTTCCTATAGAGAAAAGTTATGTTGATATAGGAACTACATTAAACAGAAGCAGAACCAAATGTACAAAAGTTTTAAGTTAAATTTGTAACACTCAGTAAACCTTACACATACTTTCTTAAACTGATCATTCAAGAGTGACACAAATTCTTATAGATGATGTGTGTTACAAGTACAAATCAATGCAGGCTAATCATGATATTATCAATTTTATATCTAAGAAATAAAGAGAAAAGGTCTATTTCCAGTACAGTCACCTAGGTTAGCCAAAGTAGATAAAACAAAATACGCTGACTTCTTATAGCACACAATATATGAACTTTAAGAGTAACAAGCACAACCATGTCACTAAGATCAAGTTCAATTCTTATGAGTTCCATGAGAGACATCCTGTAACAAAAAATACAAGGCAGTTATTAAAGAGCACAGGCTTTGCATACAAAGAACTGACTTTAAGTCCAGGTTCTGTCATTTAACATGGTCATTTAACATAGGATCACGTTAAATGACAGAGGCACAATCACCTAACTTTCCTGAACCTCTGTTTCCTCAACTGCAAAATAAAATGGTGTATATATATATATATATATATATATATATACACACACACACACACACACACACACACATATATGCATTAGTGTAAATGGAAGTAATGTCTACATCGCAGATTTTTTGAGATGAAATACATGCACAGAAAAATCATGCTATACATGACTTAAACGCTTGTCCTAAAACACAGATCACCATTGCCATGATCAACAGTTTTAACACCGTAATGGATGTTTCAATTTAATACCATTCCAATATAGCAGACATTTTATTTTCTTTTGGTTTCATTCTATTTTCTTGAAGGTCATTTGTCTGTATGCAATTCAGCTTACGTTGCTAATGTATTTTTATATGGCAAGAGAAATAAGGCAGTCATTTTAGGACTAAATTTAAAACTAGTCTAGAAATTAATAGCCAGAGCAAAATTTGTAAGAGGAAATATTGATAAACTGGACCTGATCAAAATAAAAAAAAACTTCTGCTCTGCAAAAGATCCTGTGAAGATGATGAATAGATAAGCCACAGCCTGGGAGAGATTATCCGTAAACCACATACACATATAAAAAATTCTAAAAATGCAACAGTAAAAAAACGCCCACAAAACAAAGAATTCAATTCCAAAATGGGCAGAAGACTCATAGATACAGAGAACATTCTGACTGTTGTCAGGTGGGAGGGGTGTTAGGAGAATGGGTGAAAAAGGTAAAGGGATTAAGAAGTACAGATTGGTTGTTACAGAATAGTCATGTGGATGTAAAGTACAGCATATAGAATATAGTCAATAATATTCTAATAACTACGTATGGTGTTACATGGGTATGAGATTTATACGCATGATCACTGAGCGAATTATATAATGTCTAATCATTGGCATGTACACCTGAAACTAATTTAATATTGTATCGGGTCGGCCAAAAAGTCCGTTTGGCTTTTCCTGTAATATGGCTTTAGCCATGCTTAGCTGTAGTTAACTTGATTCGAAACACTTTTGTTAGATTGTATTGTGACAGCTGTCATATCAGTGTGCATCTTAAAAAGACATTAAAATTAGTAAATTTTTGTATAGCCATTTTTAATATTAAAGATGGAAGAAAACAGACATTTTCAGCATATTATGCTTATTTCAAGAAAGGTAAAAGTGCAACTGAAATGCAAAAAAGATTTGTGCAGTGTATGGAGAAGGTGCTGTGACTGATCAAATGTGTCAAAAGTGGTTTGTGAAATTTTGTGCTGGAGATTTCTTGATGGACAATGCTCCATAGTTGGGTAGACAAGGTGAAGTTGATAGCGATCAAATTGAGACAATAACTGA